CGTTCTTCGAGATGAGTGTCCCTGTGGGTGCTCCACTACAGGTGTTGGTGAGGCCCTGCGCCTTCGCCCGGAGATTTTTGCAGCAGTACTCATAGCGGCCACGCATGCTCAGAAGCTGCCCCCCGCTGTGACTCTAGGGTAATAGAACGCATGCGTGGCCGGTCTCCTCAGTTCCTTCTCTACCACGGAGGCCCCCCAACTCCGAAGTAGAGGGGAGGAGGGTGGGTAGTGGAGCACCCACAGGGACACTCATCTCGAAGAACGTCAGTTACTGCACAGGGTGAGTAACCTCCTCTTATTTGCTCAGCTGTAATCTGCAGCTCCTTGTTATCAAATTCATGAGGGATTTGATATGTTTAAATCACTTATTTAAAAGCCCCCATCATGGGAAATTAGTGTGGTCCTGGCCATGCTGCTGACAGCTTTTGAACCATTGAATGCGTATGAGCTCAAAACTCTTACAAGGAATGTTATTTTCTTGGTGGAAATGACTTCAGCCAGCAGAGTAAGAGCCTGGTCCTGAGATGTATAGAGCGCCTGCAGCTTCTGTTGTAATGCTCACCCCTTCTTAGGATCAAGCCCAGTTGTCTGATCCATCTTTTTACTAAATTCTTTGAAGATATATTGTGGCCACAGACATGCCCTAAATTCTTTCCAAAGGTGGTATCTGCATTCCATGTGGCTCATTTAATTGTGCTGCCAATGTTTTCCCCCTCACCTAGTTGCCCATCCTGGGAAAGCTCTTCTCTAAGCTGTGTCTATAGTAGGAAAAATGCTCCTGTATTGAGAGTTAGATAAGACAATAATAAAACACCTGAGCACTGGCTACGGTACAGTCTCCATATTACTGCCACTGTTGGAGCTGTGCCACTGGAGAATTATAGGTCCTAATTTTTCTAGTGTAGACAAAGCCCAGAGCCTGATGGCAAAAGGTCCCTAGATTTTGTTAGGAGCACCCTAAAAACTCTTAGAAAGGTTGCTCAGATTTGTGTTTTCCTTGACACTGTTTATAGCTTAGAAGGTCATGCGGCTCAAAGGTCATGTCAAGGATCATTCAGTGTCAAGGAAATGTGCCACAACAAGATACCTCTGATCTGTTTCTATCTGAGACTTGCATCTGCATTGAATTATCTGGCTATTTTCCCGTATGTGCTGTTGCTAGATTCTCACCAGAGTAATGAATCAAGATTAGTAATAGATCTTGGTGCAGTCATGAAAATGTACATTGCTTTCCTACTTGGCCCTCTGTTTAACTTAATTATGCTGGAAGAATTTCTATAAGTCTGTGTTAGGAAATGTTATCATGTTGAAACATGTTTTTTAATAATCCACTCTGTGGTAACTGTAGACAAGAACAAGTTATTTTCAACATCATTAAGCCCAGTCGTGACTAGCTAAGATGATGCTGAATATGGCTTGTCTTTGTATATACTGACCACAGAGTTGTGACCATCAGATTAGCTAGCTCAGTTGTTGAAAATAGTGTTTAAACACAATACAACTTCTCATTGTAGACATTGACTAAGATACTTGCACTTTTTAAGCCTTGCATTTTAAACATTCATAAAAGAGGTGCCCTACCAGAAAAATCGAAGGTGCATAAACTAGAATTATATCAAATGTAATAAAACAATTAATATATTTCACTATATTTCATCTGCTTTTTCAACAGAATGGGCATTTTCAAAACAAGTGAACTCCATAGACATGAAAGTAATGGATTAATTTCTTTAACTTGCATGGCAGATATTTTTGCCTTAGTGAGATATAATAAGCAAAATGATAGTTACAGGTAGGTGCTAACTTTAACCAAATCATTTGCTTTTTTAGTTTGATGTTACAGTAGAAGTGGAAGTAAACTATTCGTCATAGTCCACCTATCTAATTCCATGAATTGGTGTTTAAGTGATCATGAAAGTGAGTGGTAAATGGTTCCATGGTGGGGCATAATGTAGTTGATATCTATGGAATTTTCCCCCACAACTAAGAATTACACCTTGTAATACATAGTGTATTCTACTGTGCCTAAGCAAAGACTCTTATGTCCCGAGTCAGTAATGTGACAGAGAATATAGTCAGGTGAGGAATCCAGTATTATTGTGTTTTTTCTGTACCCAATTGAAACTAGCCTTGCAGATAGGAAAATCTCTCTTTTGACCGTGTTACTCCTTATAATACTCTAGTTCTTGGATCCTTTTATATATGTGCCTAGGGTTTGTGTTGGAAAATGTCTAATACACAGTTTAAAAAAAAGGTAATGTACACAGTGGTAGGATTTTGTAATTGAAATGTAAAGTTTGTAATTTCATTTTTGTTTGAATAAGGACTAGATTCTGCCACTTTTGTTCTCATTGAATAGTGTATCATTCTACAAGAGTCAACTGAATGTAAAGTAATGTACTAGTTAATTGACATGTGTCGGCATCTGATCCCAGGTGAATATCCTGAGAACATTCATTGAGACTTGCGATTTCTGAAGTGTTGATACGATGTTTCCCAGTAACAATTTATAGTTCTTGTTCCTGCTTAAGCAGTATGTCTGGTACACTTTGTATGTGACTTTCAAACCAAATAAATAGTAATTCTTTCATTAGGCTGAAAATATTTTCAGAAGAAAGTGTACCTCTCTTTGGGCCTCCCCTTCCATCTCCACCTGTGTTCACAGATCACCAGGAATTCAGGGACTTTGTACTAGTGAAGTGTAAGTCTTTTTGAGGTCAAAGAGACCTTTTTAAACTTTTAGTCTGCTGCATAAGAATCTGCTCTTCGCACTTATTTGGGATACTGTAGATTGTAAATAATTTTTCTGCTGTGCAATGTTACAGTTTTATATTGAGTCTTTTTTAAAGTTTGGCTATTCTAGCCTCAGTGGAATATGAATCCCCTCAAACATTTCTATTTGGTTCAGATAAACACTGAACTCCCATGCAGTTAATGCTTCCTAGGTTACCAGATCCAATCTGGTTTGAGCATTTCAGAAGTATTTGTTCCATTGCTTAATGAATTGTTCATTTTCCAAAGGTTTCTTCTTAAAGACAAAGGAGAGTGATTGTGACGGTCCACGCCCCTAAGGTTGCGAGCGGCGTGGACTATCAGCCACCGTCCGTAAAATAGTCCTTGTCCAGGGCAGTGGGGCCTACCGGCCAGAGTCCAGGAAGCAACCCTCGGGTGGAGGGTAGCGTGGCCTAGCGGCCAGAGTCTTTATCATTGGGGTGCGACAGCCCCAGTAGGGGGGCCCCGACCCGGGGCCCTAACAGTAGCGTAGTGGTTTGCCACCAACTCAGCGGGGGGTTTGACCGAAACACACTGAGTTTCCCGGGGGGGGCGGGAGGGTAGGTACCACTCTGTCACCCTCCCGGGGTGCCTTCCTACCAGGCTCTCCGTTGGGGTCTCCCAGGAGTCGTTGGGTCCTTGGTACTCGTCGGATTCGGTCGTCTCCTGGGTCTTCCCCAATCGCCGGGGCGCAGGCAGTCCGTGGACAGCGTCTCTTCCCGGTGCAGTCAGTGGCTGTGGCTGGTCCGTTGCAGGAGCTCCCCCGGCAGGTCCTTCTCCTACGGGCTCCAGCCCAGAATGAGCTGGCCTCCCTCCCTTTATACTCCTGTAGCACTTGGAGCATGCCCAGTCTGCCCGGGGAGGTGGGACTTCCGCTGCCAGTCCCTGGGGCTTAACTCCTTCCGGATTAAGGCGGGGTAGACTGGCCCCGCCACAGTGATATTCGGAAACATATTAATCTAATGCCATTTCATATGTTTAGCAGTAAAAGGTGCCAGACTGGCAACTTTGGAGACTAAAGTACTTTATCTACAGAAAATGTGCAGCATGGAAAAGAGTCAGTATGTTTCAGTGCTGTTATGAATATTTTAGTGCTGTTATGAACCAGTTCCCGAGGAGAGAACTCAATCTTAATGGACTAATTCAAGCCGTGACCTCCTGCTAAGACTCCCAGGAAGGGGGCCACTGAGTACTAATCATGATTTTTGTAATGTAAACATCTGACCAATAGGAACTTGACTGAGAACTCACCAGTTCATTTCATACAAGTTACTAAAGAATAATCATTGATATTTAAATGGATTAGCAGTGTAGACTCCTAACTCATATATCATCCAACAGATTATTGGGCTGTGTGATCGAGATCTATGATTGCTCATTGCCCTTTAAAGCTAGAGGAATGACTCTAATTACTTTGATAAAATCTAATTAGAAAATGGCAAATTGCTTAATTTATTGAAAACTGCTTTATCAATTACAGTAACTCCTCTCTTAAAGTCATCCTGGTTAATGTTGTTTCGTTGTTACGTTGCTGATCAATTAGGGAACATGCTCGTTTAAAGTTGTGCAATGCTCCCTTCTAATGTTGTTTGGTAGCTGCCTGCTTTGTCTACTGCTTGCAGGAAGAGCAGCCCCTTGCAGCTAGCTGGTGGGGGCTTGGAACCAGGGTGGACTGGCAGCCACCCTATCAGCTCCCCGCTCCCCTAAGTTCCCTGTGCAGCAGCTGCCTGCAGTTCATCTGTGTCCCTCCCCCCACTGCCATGTGCTGCTCCTGCCCTCTGCCTTGGAGCTGCTCCCCGAGACTCCTGCTTGCTGTGCAGGGGGGAGGGAAAGAAGAGGGGGGCTAATGTCAGGGTGTCCCCCTCACCCTGCTCCTGCACCCCGCTTACCCCATCTTCCATAGAGCAGGGGGGGACACACCAGGGCTCAGGATGGAGGGAGCTTGCAGCAGCTGCGGTATCAGCAAGCTGATCTAATTAACAAGGCAGTGTACTTAAAGGGGAAATGTGCATACCTCTCTCCCACACGCCCCCCTCGCCCATTTTCTGCTGCCTTGTAGAGTGAGAGAGTTAACCCTTGAGGGCTCAGCCAATTGCTAGTTCATCAAGGGAAATATCCCACCTCTGACTCCTCCAC